AATAACACTGTCCAAACAAATAGTAAGCAGCTCAATGTCTCGATAATACTATGAAATAAAGAGGGGACATCACAGGCTTTGCGTAGGATTCTTAATAATGTTGCGGGAGCAGTTACATTGGAAGGACAGAAAGAAGGGCATACCTACGATTTTCTGAACGTACCAAAAAGCTTACGTCTAAAGGAAACATATTCTTTAAACAGTGCCATCGCCAGGCATCTCCTCGACACGGGTCATGAGGTGGAAATCGAGAAATCCTTCAAAATTACCAATAGACAAAGGAGCTCCATTCTCCTCAAGTTTGCCGAAGCAATTTCTATCAAACGCTTCAAACCAGATTTATGTGTTCAGAAAGAAGCAGTTATCAGTCTTTCCTTGCCACGGTAACTGGATGTCTTTACTCTCTAATCTGATTACGTAATCTTTGTCTTTAACCTCACCCCTCTTTTTTTTAAATCTGTAATATTGCTCGTCTCTTGTTTCTGTGACGTGATTTGAACTCAGTACATCGTTACCAAATTTATTAGTTACTCATCATCTTACTCACCTCTCGTCTTTATTACGTAACTCTTTTACCACTGTATGCATACATCTATTTTGTTTAAACTTGAACTGCCTGTGTAAAAACTATATAAGCGCAATTTTCTGAGCACTGTTCACTTACTGTGGAACTTTCTGTCAACTGACAACATGTAAAAATTTGCAAGTATGTTAAAACTTTTCTGTACGTAAACCTCACAATTTATTTAGGCTGTAAGCAGCTGACGAGAAGCCGACGAAATAAATGATGGTACCATATTATTCTGCACAAACCACTGTTGTTCTTGCTTTATTTAAATTCATCAAGGGGAATAAATGCATGAAATAATGTTGTGATTAGGAAGGCATTTAAAAACAGTCAACCGACGAACCAACCAACTCACTCAGAGGCAAACATTGTCTGCTTAAGGACTGTATAGACGGAATTAGGCAAATAAAATAAAATAAAGCACTTTACCAAATACCGTGTGATGACTGTGCGATCAATTATATAGGTCAAACCACTAGATGAGCGTCAGAATTAGATTATCGGAACAACAGAGGTTCATCTAGACGCAGATTGAATGATTAACCCTTATCTTGGGTTAAAATAACCCAGAGAAGAAAAAAATCTCGACCAGTTGCAACGCATTCTCTGTCATGTAATCACACACGAATACAATGGGTTAGGAGCGGTTGAAAGTATTGAAAAGTAATATATATATATATATATAGTTAGGTGGACAATAATTCGGCACCTATCCTGAATATATAGAAAATCCCAATCAGAAAGACAGAAGAAAGAATTAAGGCTATGTATAATAAAGCAAGTTATCAAGTCTTGCGAATATACACATTGATTTGATTATGAGGAACAAACTGGTCCGGAAACTTCCCCCAGTTATTAGCACGGTATCATTGTGTGTTACTACTTCAACACGGTGGGGTGTCCCAAATCTTTATCATCCTCATTCAACAGCTGGCTATATGATAATGCCTGCCACGTGTCAGGTGATCCACAACGGAAAACTCAGCGAAGCCTTCCTTTTGAAGTGAAGACAGAAGTAAGACAAAACTGTCTGCCTACTATCAGCGGTGATATTCCTAGCTGTAATGGACTGGATTACGCAGTACATCGTATGTGGGTAGAGAGAAGACAACAATACGCCGTACCGATAAGAAGACTCTAGAAGGTCTGGATTTTGAGGACGATTTATGTTTAATGTTGTACAAACTCGAAGACTTGCAGACGAAGACCAAGAAATTCGCTAAAGAGGCAACTAAGATAGGACTCCAGTCGAACATAGAGAAGATCGAGGTTATGAAGATAACCAACCAATCAATAGCGACAACAAGCAGTACCAATCACCATCAACGGGATAAATTTGAATGAGGTCTCTTCCTTTTACTTATATTTCTTTACTGCTCCGTCTTAATCTTTCCCGGGCTATTTAAGAAAGACTGTTATATTTCGAAGGGAACTAAAATAGTGTCAATAGGGTTGGTGGGATATTGCTAAGCCAATTCGTTGTTTATACAGTTGTGGATAGACACATGGACTCCTGCAAGTAATTAGCAAATATTATTTTAAATGCAGTGTTCACATCAACCTTATGCTCAGTATCAACAAGATGTGCTAAAATAGAACTACGAATAGATCTTGTTTGTCCTCCCTTGCTTAACCATATTGGATGATGTTCGGAAATACGATGATGAACCTGCCTAATTGTACGCCCAATGTAGCTGGCTCCGCAGCTGCAGTCAAACTGGTAGATACAAATAGAGCTAAGTTAAACTGTTCAGACGACTGCCTCAATGAGAGGAGCTTAAGATTATTAGAGAATTACTTAGAAAAAATGGTTATCGAGATAAATTTATTGAGAAGAATATGAATTCAGCACAAAGGAGAGTCAGTATGTCTACAGTTCCAAAAAGCCAATGTTCATAAAATTGCAGTTCCTCGATGACAACATCAGCAAAATCATAACACAGCGCTTGAAGAATGCAATTGAAAGAGCTTATTATGCAGCAGAGGTACGTTGTCTCTTCAAAACCACCCCTATTATATGTTCAAGAAATAAGGATAAACCGCCTAATTTTGCCTCCTCCTCTATGTGTATCTACCAGTCTGACTGCAGCTGCGGATCCATCTACATTGGGCTTACAATTAGGCAGGTTCATCATCGCATTTCCGAACATCATCCATCATGGTTAAGCAAGGGACAAACAAGATCTATTCGTAGTTCTATTTTAGCACATCTTGTTGATACTGAGCATAAGGTTGATGTTAATACTGCATTTAAAATTATATTTATCGCATTCCTCCTAATCTTAATTTTGCTCTACGAGTTCGTCTTCTACAGACAACTGAAGCAATAGGAATCCACCTGAAGAGCGAGCCAAGCCTATGTGTTCAGGAGAAATATTATTTTGACGGATTTCGAGCATCCTCTCTATACAAAATTCTCTTCTTTCATCTCATCGGGTGGGTAGGACTAGAAATAACTAAGTACGAAAACTCCACAATAACGTTTTTGGCCGGGACACATTTTATATGATAACAAAAGTGTGTAATGCAGGACATTACCAACTCACTGTGGAACCCTTGGTAGACGGCCCTATTGTTTTGCATTATTAGACTGTTGTGAATGTTTTCACTTGTATATTCTTATTCTTATTGAACCATACTACTTTTACTTCTATTAGTAGTAGTAGTAGTAATAGCAAAAGTAGTAATCTGAAGGACAGCATGAGTTACCTGAAACTCATTTTAAACTCAGGAAAGGTGATCGAAATGCATTAAACAATAAGACAGTAAACATCAATCAATGTGTACGTAGTATTGTATCCAGAACAGAAAACATCACAAAAAGCAAATAAAAAACACACACGGTAAATGCTCTCCAATCACAAAGGTGGTCAGAGGGGTTCGATTCCCAACGTCGACTTACACAAACACACCGAAAACACGCTTAGTTAACTCGTCAGTAAGTAGCAAGTCCGGTGAAAGAGAGAAAGTCGCGGGGGAGGGATGGCTTGGTAACCTCACCCATCAACCCTAAAACCAAACACCACCGGCACCTCTACTGGAACTTTCAAGCTTATCTCCTGAAGCCGTCCGCATAATAATAATAATAATAATAATTTTTGCTTTATTCCAAAAACAGTACTAATGATACAGCAAGGAATTTTCAGCATTCAGTACAATATTGCATCTAATTTACTCAAAAACGACAACAACAAAAAATAAATAAACGAAATAATTATTACATAATAATGATAACAAAACGTTTTTATAGCAGCTATGTAGCAATTACAGAATACGATAAGGAGAAAAATACGCATAAAGTATAAAATTATAGTAATAATAGTAATAACAACTAAAATAAAAATAGCAAAGTTATAATTAAACGATAGAAAGGGTGACACCATAGAATTACAGAAAGATGAACAATGAAAGGGTCGATTCACTATGGTAATTACCTAGTAACTTATATGTTTCACGCCTAACAGAGTCTTCATCACATAAAATACGGGCTAAATACGGTATTGCAGAATTTTTGTACTTAGTGGTACTAGCATATAATTTCTTATATTGACTTCTCGTTCTACCTGATGAGATACAAGGGGATGGTTGTGAATAAAGAGGGTGCAGAAGGTCTGACAGTACGGCCTTTGCCCATTTTGTACAGGAATTTATGTGTCTCTCGACTATGGTATTGGTGAGCTCACGCAGTGGCAAACCACAAGCCCTACTCACAGCATTTAATACCCTTCGTAGTATGACATAGTCTTTTGTAAGAAGCCCAGGAAAGATTAATGGAGAACAATAAAGTACAATAGGTAAAATACAGGAGTTTAAAAATTGCTGGACTAAAAGTTGGTTGATACCTTGTTGTCTTAACTTTTTAATGTAGAAGGTAAGACGAAACATTTTCTTAGAGATCAGTAAGATGTGGGATGACGACGAAAGGTCCGAGGAAAGAGCTAATCCAAGGTATTTAATGCTTGACTTGGTTTCAATTTCTGTGCCATCTATGCTACAGGCATCATGGGAACTAACTAGTTCATGTATGTCACGTCGATGCTTGAAGGTAAAGTTAACTGCCTGACATTTGGAAGGATTTAACATAAGACCATTTGACTTAGACCACTTGCTGATGTCCAACAGAAAGCTATTAAGTTTGGAGCAGTCAGACTCGGAAGTGATAGGCAGTGATACAGTCAGATCATCAGCATATTTGACAAAATTAGTTTCGTTTAAATGTGGCAGGTCGTGTAGGAAGAAAGAAAAAAGAAAAGGAGAGAGGACGGCACCTTGAGGAACACCGGCTTTTGTAAGCAAAGCAGAAGAAGATTTGCCATTATATGCAGTATACTGCATTCTATCAGAAAAATAAGAATGCAACCAACTCTTAGCCCACTTGGAATGGAAAAAATGAAACCAAAAACAACAGGAAAAAAAACAACTGAATACTTACTCGTCCACAGCATTCTCTTTGTCCAACTTCATAGCCAACATTTTCTTCTTAATATGCTCCATGCTTATTGATTATTAATTACTCAAACTAACTGACGAAATTATCCGTTCGTATACAAATAAATAAATAATCTCACTTAATATGAGAAAGAAAAAGTAAAACAAACAACTAAGCTTTGCAAAAGCTGATTGTCACTGAAAGCAAAAGGTGCCTGTGAACACCTTAATATAACTTAAAGAATGTTCTTTTTCATGTCTTGATTTCTTCTTCTTCTCCTGCTTTTGCTTCAGTTTGTGCGTGTGCGTAGGTGGACGTATTTGACCGCATCTCATATTCACCCACTCATATACACTTTAATGTGTACACTACGCAAAGATACACATAAATTCCTTTACAGCCGTGATTGGGATAAATAACTGAGAGAGAGAGAGAGAGGCTGAGAGGCAATTAACCAATCATAGAAGAGTGTGCATGTATTTGTATGTGTGCAGATTATTTTCCCCATCTAGATATTGATTTTCAAGCAGTACAGCAACAACAACAACAACCTGTAGAACATCACCTTACTTTCACTGCTTCTGCCCTTATCGATTATTATTATTGTTAGTGTAGTAAATAAAGTGTTAGGAAAACAATATTTTTCTTTTCCTGTTATTATTACTGAGTGGAAACGCCTAATTTCTTGATTACAAGTTATCTTCACAATTTAGTTTGTAGGGATTCCATTTGTTACAGAGAACCCTTGAAAACCATTACCAGGGAGTACTGGACAGCCAGCTGTTTCATCCTACTTTTGGAATTCATTGGTAGTACGCACCCACTGCCAGGGTCCGGACCCAGGACCTTCCGATTACAAGGCAAGCGAGCTCGTATACCATTCAGCCACTCACTGGGACCCGATTCCTCAATGGCCAGCAAACCCATGAATTCTAACTTCTACCAATTCGTGATTTAGCGTCGTTGGTGGGACATCCATCCCTACACGTGACATCTGGATGGACTTCACTGGTCACGAATTCTCACTAGAACTGACTCCAGGAAACTCCACGCTGTAGCAAGTCACTAGCGAGCATTAGATTAATTTTCTATTATTTTGGTTTGTAAGGGTTAGTTATGTTTTTACGAGTTGATCACGGATTGATATCAGTTAGAGAACTATTGAAAACCAGCCACAGGGAGTACTGGAGAGTGCTAAATCACGAATTGGTAGAAGTTAGAATTCATGGACTGGCCATTGAGGAATCGGGTCCCAGTGACTGGATGGTATACGGGCTTTCCTTGCAATCGGAAGGTCCTGGGTTCGGAACTTGGCAGTGGGTGCGTACTGCCGATAATTCCCAAACTAGGATGAAACAGCTGTCCAGTAATCCCTGGTTTTCAATGGTTCTCTGACTGATATCAATCCGTGATCAACTCGTAAAAACATAACTAACCCTCACAATCCAAAACTATAGAAGATTCCATTTGTTTCAAATTTGACCGCAGACTGACATCAGTTCAAGGAAATCAAATCCCAATACAAACTATCCTTTGTAAATGAATCTGATGTTCGCTAGTCACTATCTGTCTACCTGAAGAAGTTGACTGCAATCCAAGTGGGAAGTTGTGACCACCAGTAGGCTCCATCATGTCGGGCGTGGGGATGAATACTCGTCAGCGATGACACTGGCTGGAGGTTGCGTTATATATCTCGAGTAGCTAGGAGTTGTAATTCATAGGTTGGCCATTGGATCAGTTCCCAGTATCCGAATGGTCCACGAGCTTATCTTGTAACCAGAAGGTTGTTGTGGTGCATACTGATGACGAGTCCCGAACTAGGACGAAATAGCTGGCTACCCAGTACTCGCTTCTAGTTTTCCGAAAGTTCTCTAACTAATGTTGTTTCCAGATCACACTTGTCGCAACCTTTTGTAAGTTTGAAGAAGTACAGAGAAGAACAATGAAAATATGTATTCTGACAAATAGGAAGGATGAAAGAGAGAACTATAAAAATCTCAAGTTTCGAAGTTGCGTAGTTACCATTGTATGATATGATTGTGAACATTATAATAATATATAATCCAACAAAACAATAATTATGGAACTATTCAGCACAGTTTGGCAATCAACAATTAACGAAGACGGATACTGACAACAGATTACAACTTTAAATTCACTACTATTAAGGCATACAACATTCTTCTACTCTATGCTTGCATTTGCATTCACTCCTTATATACATCTTCTTGAGTGATTTGCTATCTCTGGATTTTCGTTGCATTACAGTAGTATACACTACTTATAAACCAATATAAGTAATATATATGTAGTCGTATCTTTGGAGAAGTAATAATAAACCAGAAAATGGATCTCTGAACAACCCCATCAGAAAATTCTCATTCTATTTCGGGCATGCCGATGACACCTTTATTTCTTGTGATAATGATTCGGATAGGAACACAATAATCATTCATTTCAACGAAGTATATTTCGATATGAAATTCAAATTCGTAGATGTCCTTCTTACAAGAAAACCAGATGGTAGAATAAAGAGAAATTTTTGCATAGGGAAAGTACATGGACAGGACAATATACACATTTTCACAGCTTCGCTGTTCTCCAGTACAAAAAGAAATTTAGTGAAGATCCTCAGCCACAGGGTTAGAGCTATATGCTCAGACGAGGTAACTGAAGGTGAACTAAGAATTGTATATGATGCCTTGATTGAAAATAGCTATCCCGACAATTCATCAAGAAACACATGACAGAGAAAGCGGAAAAGGACTATTCTTCATCTGTAAATAAGAAGCCTTTATATATGTGCGGCTGCACTTCAAGGGCTATATATTTAGTGAGATAATTTAGAAAAATTAAGGAAATCAGTTCAAAGAACTTTTAATGCTGGCGAAATACATGTCTTGTTCTCTGCACGAACGATGGTGATTCCTCGTCTGAAAGATGAAGTACCTAGGCTACCCACTTCCAATTGCCTCTACCAATTCAACTGTGCTTGTGGAGCGAGTTATATTGGCCGTTGCTCTAGGAACTTGATTTTTCGTGCTCGCTCAGGAACATCTCCCACTATGGCTAAGTAAGGGCGTAGTGAAAATCATCAACAGTTTCAATTTAGACCACCTGGCCTAAATCGGCCACAAAGCAGGCCAGCATTGAAGAATCCTTCTCTATCATCTACTGGGTATCAAATAAATAGCCAAAAACGCCAAGGTACTACATACTACAAACAGCAGAGGCTATCGCGATTAGCGTGAAACAACCAGTGCTTTGTATGCAAAAGAAACAAGTCCAGCCAGTCACTACTACTACCCTGGTCAGCCTTCAGTGGAGACTATAAATTCATGAATTTGTATTATCATTTTTCCTAATTTCTGTGATATTCATTCAGTGTATTGTTATGTCGATGCTATCGAACTGAAATCTATTCATATTGTTAATTGATTCGACGTTATTTATACAACTATAATGTTGTCAATAACACCAATTCATTCATTCACTATTATGTATTTATAAATGTAGAACCTGATGAAGAGCAGGTTATCGAAAAGAATATTCTTTGTCCAGTCACCATTATTTTGAAAAATTGGAAAATCATTGGAAAAGTCACTAATGAAAAAAAAATCAAGACGAGAAGAATTCCAATACTCTGAAGAGAAGAAGAACAGAATATGCTTGCTAAGGATTAGATGATATTATTGGCAAATAGAGAAATCAAGGCGTCGGAAGTTCAGCGGTAGAATCCTTGCCAGATACAAGAATGTTCCGGGCTTGATTCCCAGAAGATGCATATTTAACCAACTGTCTAGTTTTCCAGCTGTTAGTAAGCTCGGAAAGGAAGGATTGTTGCGCTGAAGGCTCATCCCGTAAAATCAAAGAGCATCCCCTCTACTGAATCTCCAAGGCTTGAAGCCTTGTGTCAGACGAAGAAATCTCAAAGAAATGGAAATAAATATGGAAATACAATCATACACTGTTGAGTCAGTCTTTTTCAGACGGACAGATATTGACAAAGAAGGGACACAAACTATTGTCCAGTGCATTTTTTAAATGCTTCTTAGTTCAAAGGATACTGTGACAGCAAGTTATTTAGTCTTTTAACCAGATTCCAAACTAAATTTATGGAATTTAGTCACGACATTCATTGAGGACTGGACATATGATATTGGTTACTTCCTAATGACCAATATCGGTATATCCTTTACAGTCCTACAGGAGGTGAAGTGTGAAAGTAAATAGCTCAATGGTAACATCTCTGACTGCAGGACTGCATGAGGCATATTTGAATCTCAGGGGAGACATCAACTCCGTCGAGATTGTAGGTCCGTCTTATTAGCTGATGTGTGCCAAGAGCCAAGAAACCTAAGACATCCAAAAATGGGATTTTGTTCTCGGATTCCTCTTCTCTTGTGAATTTGATGTCTTTGAAGAAGTTGTCTGTTAAGTTGTGAGTTTTATCTAATTCATTTCTTTTGATTATTACAAATGTGTTGTCTACGTAACGTATCCAAAGTTTGGTTTTGATCTTTGGTAGGATTATGTTTTCGAGCCTTTGCATCACTGTTTCTGCAATCAAACCTGACATTGGCGATCCCATGAGTGTTCCTTTGACTTGTCCATATATTTGGCTGTTGAATTAGAAGTACGTTGTTAGGCATAGGTTTATGCATTCCATCCAGCTTGTGTGTTGCATTTGTGATTGTTGTGGGAGGTGTTCGTTGTTGTTGAGTAGTTGTTCCACGGTCTCTTTTGCTAGTTTTTGTCCGATTGAGGTGTATAATGCTGTGACGTTGAAGGATATCATTATTTCTTGGTCATCTATTTGGATGCCTCTGATTTCCTCTAGAAATTGAATAGACGAATTGATGGAGTGATCACAAGATTCCGTTAGGTGTTTTAGTTTTCTGTATAATTCTTTGGATAAATTGTATGCTGGAGTTCCTGGGAGTGATACAATTGGTCGTAACGGGATATTTGGCTTGTGTATTTTGGGTCTGCAGTAAAATCGGAGTAGGACTGGTCCACTGGATTTCATTCGCCATTGGTTTTGTTTTGTGATCTTACCAGTTTTGGTGAGCTTGTTTAAGGTTCTTTGGATGCGGTTGTCTAATGTTTTTATGGGATTTGTTAGGAGTTGTTGATATACATCCTCTTCTTTGAGTAGTTCTTCAGCTTCAAGAGAGCCAGTACTCATTGCAGCACTCCCACCTTAAGGAAAATTAAAAGAAAATATCTCATGGACGTCTTCCAAAAGAATGGATATCCACGGAATTTCATCAAAAGACATATAACCCCAAATCAACTTATCAAACCAAAAGCCCCCAAGGAAAGCACAAAGAAAATCACCCTACCATATATAAAGGACATCTCAGAAATCA